GGAAGAAGTGGAGAGAGGGAGGAGGGGAGGAGGGGAGGAGAGAAGCCTAGGACATAGCCCTAAACTAAAGGACTGTCAAGATTAGGGGCTGGAGATGGATGATGATCCTGCAAAAGAGCCTGAGGAGTGTTTTGATTAGAAGGAGGAAAACCAGGAGAGAGCAGTGGAGCAAAAATCTAGGGAAAGAGTATCCAGAAGAAAGCAGTCAACAGTGTCAACTGTTTGAGAAAAGAAATTGGTTGAGAATAGACAGGGGCAGACTACTGAAGGCTCCTTTTTGAATGGGGCCAGCATCTGTCTGCTCTCCTGGCTCCCAGTCAAATGCTTCAACTAGCCATGAGTTTCATATTCTGCTACACTCTAGTCCAGGGGTGGGGAACCTGCGGCCTCGAGACCACATGTGGCCCTCTAGGTCCTCAAGTGCAGCCCTTATTCAGTGGGGAACCGCAGGTTCTCCACCCTTCTCTAGTCCCTAGTTTCCTGAACCCCAACATTTCATGGGCTTTTGGCTTTAGCCTGCAGTCATCTTCTCAGCTTCTCCATCTTTTCTTCTCAGCCCATAGATGATAAGTAAAGGAAAGATTTATTCAGAAAGGAAGAATTAAATTTATCAATTATCCTGAGGTATAAGAAGGTATATTGCTAATTAACTCTATAAACTAATATTCCCCTAGGCCATATCTTGCTGCCTAGAGGCCCTTGCCCAGGTGACATAATCCAGAAACAAATATATACAAAGTATTTACTTAAAGATGCAATTTTTGTAAAGGTAAAAAACTGGAAACTAAAGGGGTGCCCAACAATTGGAGAGTGGCTGAACAAATTGCGGTATATGATTGCAATGGAATATTATTGAGCTTTAAGAAATGATCAAATATTGACTATGTATATTTGCAATGGGTATTGGTTTTCTTGCCTTCTCAGTCAGTGGGTGAGGAAAGGGGAAGAGAGGGACTTTGGAGCTGAAAATAAAATAAAATTGAGATAGGGTAGGATGGTAGGTATGTTAGAGTATGATGGGGCCTAGGTATGTAGATGGGATATAGAAAGAGATGAAAGAGTTCAATGTAGAAGTTCTCAACCCTGCTTTAAGATCCATGAACTTGATTTTTTTAATAAATATTTTAATAACTATTTCAATTTAAATGTCTTCCTACACAGGAAATGACAAAATCTCCTATCAAATCAAGCATTTATTAAGTACCTGCTGTGTACAATGTTCTCCTCTCAGATTGTCACTTTTCTGTCACTTTTCTGTATATATCTTGTATGTACCTACTAATTTACATGTTGTCCTTCCAAGCAGAATATAAGCTCTACAAGGGCAGGAGCAATTATTGCTTTTCTTTGTATTCTCAGTACTTAGCATAGTGCCTATCACAAAATAATCACTTAATAAATGTTTGTAAGATGACTGAAAAAAAAAATTGAATTTCCAAAAAAAATTAAAAGGAACCATTTCAGACAATCCTGAGAAGACTTATCTGAATTGATGCACAATTAAAAAAAAAAAAAGCAAAACCAGGAGAACAACTTAAACAAAACAGAAAAAAATTAGAAATGCAAAAGTGTTAAACCCTCACACACACACACACACACACACACACACACACACACACACACAC